ACGCCCCTAGCTTTGCCGCTAGGGACCACTTACACGCCTGCGTGTATCTCCCCGAGCCATGCCCCGAGGTTTAATTGGAGAGCACGATTTCTCTCCGGCGACCGTCAAAGATGCGCACGCGTTTCAACATGCACGTTTTGTGTACGATACACATATACATCCGCACAGATCTTGTGGGAGAATCTCCAACCTCGCCAACTCTCGGCCTCGCTGCCTCCTGTCGCGCAAACAACTACTGAGAGTAGCAGGGTCGGCCGTTGAGATGCGCATCTTTGTAGTGGGGTAGCAGCGGCAGCTAAGAACGAGGTGCCTGTGTGGTGCACAGAAAGCGTGCTTCGAGGTTGAAGCTATTTGCCAGGTTTGCGGCGAGATCAGTATCGTTCAAAACGGATAACCATGGCCGTGCGAGGGCCGATTGCTGGTGATGCAGATCGCCCTCGACCTTCTCTGTACACCATGTGCCAGCGAACACACCTGCCGTTCTTTATTCTATACCAGTAGTGGCTCCATGCACCGCGGCATGGTGGCGCCAGTCCCTGTTGAAGGTGTTGATTTCGGGCGTGTGTGTTTGCAACTGCTTGTCTGCGTGCGTCATGGTTGTCGCGTGGACACAAACACGCAAATACCCTCACCCGCTTTCGCAGTCTCCCCTCAGCGCCAAAAGAGACAGACTCGTGGGAACGACGCGTGCCTAGATGAGCTTGGTGGCTCCGCGCACACTCGCGCTGCAAGTGCAGCAGCAACGTTGCACCAGCAGTACTGCTGCATAGTAACAGTGTAAACTCAAGACCACCACCTCGTATCACAGAAGTATGTTTTTTTTCGGTGGTTGTTGTCTAGAGTTGAAGTTGCAACGCACTCACTTTGATCTCTGCGACCACCAGCCGCCAGCCATCCCTATCACCCCCCTCCCCCCTCCCGCTCCCGCGCAGAATCTTTATTCTTCCTACAGCAGTATACGTATTCTGCACACATGCAGCCAGAAAACACAGCAGAAAGTTGTGTAGTTGCGTGATCTCATGTACGTACGTGGGAGTGCTCTTTCGTCGTTCGTGTGTGGCGGCCTGCGTTCGCATTTTCCACCGCAACCACCCGAGAGGAACTTTCAGTCTGCAATTGTAATGCACACAAAAAATAATGTAGCGCACGAATGTTCTCGTTTGTGGGCGCGCGTAAAACGCCGATGTGCCGCTATCCTGTCTCTCGAATAACTTTATCGAATGCCGATTGTAACAGACTGCACAGCCACCCATCCGGCTTCCATCCAGGCACTCAGATGTGCTTGTGCGATCCATGCGCCTTTCTCCTGTCGCTTCTATGTCTACGTGATGGAGGACACAAATGGTGCATGAACAATGCTCGCACAAACATTTTTTGTATCCCCACATGCCCTATTTCGATGTGCATTGGCTGTTGCTGTTCAAATCATGTCAGCACCAGGTACAGCAGCCCGCATGTTCGAATGAGTTGCTGCTTTTCCGGGATGCGACGAAAGCCGTTGATGGATTTTTACTCACTCCCGTTTGGCCGTGCCGCGTGATGTTTAGCGCTGTTGCAGGAGAACATTTTCCAGCCTGGTGATATGCCTTTGCCGTTCTATAACAAAAATTATTAGTCATGTCGTTTTGTGGTACTCACCTCGCCCCGTTTCTCTCTCCTTCCCCCCCATTTGCTCTGCTCCGGAAACTGAAAGAGAGGGAAGGTGCCAAACAGCCTACAGCCATGTCTATGCTATTCAAACAAGAAAAAAAATATTAAAAAATTAACCATGGCAGACTGCTGTTGGCTCTTACAGATGCCACATTTTTATTTTTTCAATCCGTATGATTGTGTCGTCCCCTCATTGGTGGACGTCCATTATTTCAACGTTCGGACTATTCTACACTCATTCACTGTTTCTCTTGCCTGGACGCCGCATCACCCGGGGTACCCCATGCCATCTCTACGACGGGTGTCATCTCTCCGACCCCGGTGCGGAAAAGCAACTAAATCATTTCGTTTTGCATGGCACCCCGGTGCGATCTCTCTGACCGATGCAATTTCCGTGGAATAGACACACTCGTGGTACATTGTATGCACGCACCCCGATCTCGTCTCCGATCGTTACCATTGTATTGGTACCACCAGTGTATCGGTCTTGCACTGCACACGCATTGTTGTTGTTGTTGTTGTTGTTGTTGTTGTCTTCACAGTACAAACCGTTCCGATCTCTCTCTGCCCAGTACCACCCTCGTATGTCCGTACTGATACAACACTCGACGCGGTCGATTCCCGTGGTCGCAGGCTAACTTACCCTTAAAAGGTACACTCAAATAAAATGGCCCCGAGGGGTCCGCAGGTCAATAGAAATCAACGACAGATATTCTGGAGTCCTCCACTCCCTCTGCGCGCTATACGAGGTAACAACTGAGACTAGGGGTCACCATCACGGGCCGGAGAGAATGAGGTACACCCCCTTGGTCCAATCTTGGCACTTCACAACGCAAGCAGAAACAAGGCCATCTGGCACAGAAAAAGAGAGAAAAAGAGAAGAAAATAAAAGGAAACAGCAAGGAAAGAGAAAATGAAACAAAAAGAGCGAGGACAAAAAGGGACCAGGCCGAAAATAACAAGAAATAAGAGACAGAAAAGGCACACGGTGGAGAGACCACTAACGACAAGGCCACCAACCAGCGATACATTGTATAACTGAACCGCAAAAAGAGTAATATGGCGCAAACAAATCTAGTCTGCCGGGTGTTGTGATGCGAGGTTGGCTATGGCGTGTGTCAAGGACAACAAACGATGTGGTTTCCACCTGGGGTACCGGCGCATACGGTGTCAGGTCGTCTCCCGCTTTCGTTTCGGTCTTCCTCTACTGCTGTACGGATACAAATACTTCCGCAGCAGTGCAATACCTTCGTTGCGTAAGGTGGGGTAGGTTAGGCTCGGTTAGGTTTGGCTTGCCATGATGTGTGCTTGGTTGAGTGTACGGTTGGAAAACGCCCATACCAAATAAAGCATGAAGACACATGACATCCCGCGTGAACCGTGACCATGATCACGTGCATAGAGGAGTGGCACTCCGCTGACACGGTCCGTCTCCACATCTGAAAGGCACGCACATGTGCGATGCCTCATATTATCAGCTGAAAAGGAGCTCAATCTTGGATGTTGGTGTCGGGAGAGATCGGAGAGATGGCACCCGATGCGATCTCACCGACCCCGGTGCGAAAATCGAAAAAAAAAATTATGCCGTTCTTGCATGTGTTTTTCGCACCCCGGTGCCATCTCTCCGACAAATACGTTAACACTGTTGACACGGTAGCACGGAGAAGACGAAGGCCACACGTTGTTCTCTTCGCCTCCCTCTGTTTTCTGTCAACGAAGTTTGTCGGTCGTCGTTTCTTCGATTTTAGCTAAACACATTTGGGCGCTCCTAGGCCAACGGCGTAGCCGCTTCTCCCTATCTGTCATTTTAACACCATTCACCCATTGTTCTTCACTGATGGTAATTTTTGTGGCCCCCCAACATTCCTCTCCCTCCGCTGGTCCACCATCACAGGTCTGTTCCTGCCTACAACAACACCATCGCCAGCCTGCGCCGCTAGCGGCCGTCGCCATCGCCAAACAGTACTACGACTTGATGGCCCTTGCCACGTGAAGCGCTGCTGCTTTTCCGTGACGGATTAGTAGTGTTGATCGTGTTTCACTTCTTTTTGGTTGCGATTAGTATGTCCTGAGGCGGCATCAAGGGTCTGTGACGGATTCATGCACGAATAAAAAAAAAACGAGGCCGACACCACCGGTTGTTGTTCCGAATGCTGTCGTAGTCTCGACTGTGTGTATGACTCGGGGTTGCCGTTCCTGAGCAGCATGCAGAATGACCGGATACGGCTGTCGTGTGTTGTCGGATAAAAAGTTGGGTCAAAAGGAGATATTATGCATTCAAGGACGATCGTGACTGGAGTCTGTGTGGGTCTTCCCCCGCCGCGGCCGGCCGTCTTAGTAGGGTCCCCCGAATTCGTTCTGTGTGTAGATCGCAGCGAAGCAAGAATATCATAGTACGGTACTGTTTTGTGGGGCGTTGAGACCCGCTATGCATAGGTTGGTGGAGGGGATGGGAGACTCAGTTGATCAGATCATTACTCTTCGTGAGGTACGATAGGTCCCCCCGCGCCACCGGGTTTCACGAGAAAACTCTTGACCTTGTCTTGTTTTAAGTGGTTACATGGGAGATATATTTTAGTTGCTTCGAACGTCACTCCACATACGTGCTGCTTATTCATAGTACGAGTGGTGTTTACGTACGTAGTGGTGGATGGTGCGGATGCGATGCCGCCGTGAAGAGACCTGACTTCAACTAGAGAGGTCCCCGGCCCCTGCTAAGCATACTTTCCCGAGTACGTTGTCTTGTTGTAGCTTTCCAGTTTTGCTCAATGCATGTAATAGGTGTCCTGTGTCCTGTGTATGTTGTACACCGCAGGCGAGGTTGAGACACCCCGTCATGGTTGGGTGCTGCTACGCGTGGCGATTTCTTTTCATTTTTTTTCAGTGTGGCGGGGAGAGTATTTATTTGAAGGCGTGCACCGTGTTCTTCATCATGGAGAAACTTGACGTGTTATTCAGCGGTACAAGATAAGTCTTCTATACCCTTCTCGGCGGTTACAAATCGAGCCGTCCTGTAGGGTGAGCATTTCAACAAGGCAACCGAACGGGTGTGGCTCATGTGGTGTGATGGTAAAAAGCTTTTTCTGAAGTGTTGGTATGGCTTTTCTGGTGTGATGACATTGAATGTCTGGTATGATGGGTGTACGCCGTTTTTGTACTTCCTGGTGCTCGGATGCTGTTTCTGCTACCCCCCACCTCCCCATGTTTTTTTGATGAAAAGTTCGATACATGGCGTTGTTTTCGAATTAATGGATTGACCGATTTGGACTTGTCGTCCTACCTACCTACCGAACGAGTGAGAAGGGCGACTCTTTTTTTTGCGGCCTTCCCGTGGACTTGTCGTGTTGCGGTTGACGGTTTTAGCTGACGGGTTAGCGTCCGAGGGCGCAGCAGTTGTCGGTACGGTAGAGTATGTCGGAATGTGCCCCATAATGGCAGGGCACAGTATCTACGATAGTCTTGACGATAGTATTCTTGGATGCACATAACACGTTGGCAGCGACTAGCTGGAGATAATAGGGTGTGTGTGTTGTTTGTAGTGTAGATGTGTAGCATGATTTTGGTGTGTGAAGGAGTTAAGGTCGAAAATGCATGAAAGAAGAGAGGGAAAAGAGCGTATGGTTACCTACCCCATTTTTCTGCTGTTGTTTCTTTTGCTCGGCTTCGGTGGTACTTGGTAGTGCGTACTCCGTGATGAGGGAAGAGAAATGAGTGATTGTGTGCACCGGGACGATAACGGAAGACTAAATATACTATTTTCGATATTTTTTTGTGTTAAACGTGTTCGTTCGAGGTGGTCCTCGTCATCTCTCGCGATCTGAAACGCTGGATGGATATTGAGCCTTTTTCAAACGATACATCCACCAAGCAGCGCAGAGATGAAACGGAATGGCTTAGATGGGTTGATGGAATGCTCTCTTCCGACCAAACATCTGGTTTCCCCCCCACCTCTCTCGTCCGTTTCTCCTCTAGTCTCGATTCAATGCAGCACTATGAGCTCGTGTTTCTCTTGCCCTGTGGTTGGTGTTTTCCTACTAAACGACCAACCAACAAGAGCTCCTGTCGAAAATTGGCGGCAAACAGTCAGCAGCGATCGTCATGCCACCAAAAGATCGAAAGTTCATGGGATGGCAAAAAACCGGAGCAGTTAGTTTGTCACCTACCTCTCAAGAGTCCACCGCCACGATGAAGCGCTCGGCGCGTTGGTCGCTATTTTTTTGTTTTTTACCCGTGTTTGTTGTCAACATACAGCCAAGCTTCTCGGCAATACCCCCCACAAACACCACCAATGTCGTGCAATAAGTCAACCCTAGTTTTGGTCGGTGTAAGAAGACTTGGGTTATATATTGCAAATTGCTTGAGTTATGGCTTGCCGTGTACCTGAGCAGAGACTCAAAATCGGAAATAATGCCCAGGAACATCCGGCCAACATTATTGGTATCCCCACTTCTCGGCCTGTAAGTAACATTGTTAAGCGCCTGTGGGCATACAGCAGTAGCGCAAAACTCTTCCATGACGAAGGCGGTCAATACGCAAGAAGATAAAACATGAAGAATGCAGTTGACGTGTGGCAAGCTGCATCCGGGGTAAAGTTTGTCGACATTTGAATATTTTGGATTTTTTTCAAGGACAACTGCAGCAGCTGGTAGCAGGGACGCATTCCTTCGCGCACAGCAATCACATATGTGTGCTGCTGCACGCTCCTGCTCAAGCTTAGCGCTGCGTCTGTCCAGGGCCAAAGCATCTCTCGCCGCTGCCGTCTTGGCTCTCTTTCTCGCCTTCGTCTCGCGTCCACCGACACCGCCGGTGGGCTTGTTCCTGTCCTTCGGTTTTGTCATCGGCCGATAGCTGGGAGGCCCCTCTTCCAGCGTGTGGTACTCGACAACGGCTGCGTTGTTTTAAAAGCTGGTCTGATGGTCCCGTGCGCCAATGTCGTGCAATAAGTCAACCCTAGTTTTGGTCAGTGTAAGAAGACTTGGGGTAGTTTAATCGCAGTATATATCTTAAAGGCGTGATGGAATGGAAGGTCAAGAAAGAGTATGAGGTGGAGACTAGAATTGAGAAGGTGTTGGTTTATGGTTGGAATGATGAGCTTA